TGTGTAACGGCAAACCTGTAATGTTGGAAAAATCATAGCTCAGCCATTTACAGGTGACCTTGGATATAACATACCCTCGATATAACGTTCGTACCCTCGATATGAGTGTACTCCATTAGGTATAAATACGTTAGGCATACGGACGTTAGGCATACGGACGTTAGGCATACGGACGTTAGGCCTAATGGCCGTTTGGCATAAAGTCATTAGGCATAATGGACGTTAGGCATAATATACGTTAGGCATAATGGACGTTAGGCATAAGATACCTTGCTGTTGAGCAACTCTAGAAACCTGTTTCGTGCATGGTAAATAATGCTTAAATTAGGCTAAGCGTTGAATAAAATGGACTAAGCGTTAGGCATAATGGACGTTAGGCATAAGATACCTTGCTGTTGTGCAACTCTAGAAACCTGTTTCGTGCATGGTAAATAATGCTTAAATTAGGCTAAGCGTTGAATAAAAGATCATACAAGTTATACAAACATAGTTTATTCAATAAGCACTATTTGGAATCCATTATTCATCATATCATAAGTGACGTAGCTACGTATTTACTTAGATACAAGATAAGTAACGATAGCGGGTAATCTGGCAATAAAAACAAGTTTTGAACTATATCTTGAAAGCAATCGCATCTAGAAATAAAAAAATCACACATATTGCAATTTTCAAAGAAGAAAAGGTTTTCCTCAAAGAACAGCTCTTGAAATAAAGAATGGTGAATTCTGTGATTTTTCATTCAATAATAAAAAAATTGCTAAGGTTGAATAAAATATGATGCCAAAGAACAGCTCATGAAATGAAGAATGGTGAATTCTGTGGTTTTTCATTCAATAACAAAAAAACATAGCTTCCTGGATTTCCGCCATACTTTTCGATACAACGATTATGTTTTTGTTGTCATCAGAATTAAAACTAGCGGAACCGTCTGCTGATGTGAGGGAGCGATACTTCCATGAACAGTGACGAGTTGCCGAAATAAACAAGGAACTGTGGCAAACGTACCATCTGCAACCCAATACTTTGCCTGTCGTCGTTCATGAGTTCCAAAAATTAAGGCTCTTTCATTATTGTCACCGATGTCAGCAATGAATAGACGGTTCCTATTATCATCCATCATCCTTCTGGAATTCATCGGGTAGAATATGCCTAACGTCCATTATACCTAACGTCGTGTACCCCTCGATATAGCGTCACTCGATATAAGACATTTTAACTCGATATATAATACACCTTTCAGAATTATTTTTTAATTTCTCATTATCATCAGAATTAGAGTTTCAAGATTCAAGAACAATAGATTAAGCACTATTTCAGATTTATAAGTCCAATCCCAGGCACAGGTATTGAAAGTCTGTACGGGCTGTGCACTAATAGCGTAATTGCGTGGTGATTTTCCAACTCCAACTAATTTAAAATTAATGCACACCCATAACCAAAACTTTGAGAGTTTATAGCATGGAACACTGTCAAATATCAATTGACTAAATGTGTATTCCATCGAAGTAGCGACAAATTAAAGCAACTTAGAGATATTTATTAGCGATCAAGCAGTGATATTCATGTCAGTTATATTCATCTTGACACTGATTTTCACTTCAAGAGACTAATAAAATTCAGCATTTTGATGGGATTGAATTGATAATAACATTTTCAAACACTGGTTTATAGGGGAGGAATGAGGTATTTAGCTTTCCACACTCGGTAATGGCGGTCTTCGAGTGTATGAAAAGTGCCCTTCATTATGGTTTTTGACAGGTGCTGGATGTAATACGCTGGTGAAATGTGGTCCCTTTCCATCTGTTCCACTAAGAGGCGAAGAGGGGAGAAAATCTTTTTAACCAGCAGCTGACAAACATTGTAAAGCCCTCCCCTTGGCTAGTTTTTTAACCTGGACGTTGGTGGGCGTGCCTAATCTTATGCTTCATAGTGGAGCGTTGGAGACGGTTGGTTTAGGTCCGGCGTCGTTGGCTCATGCCGTGACAGAATAGCGTCATGAGCATGCGATGAGAATTACTGAGCTTCCCCTCTCTGATTAACCATTGCAAAAGAGAACCAAAGTTATAGCCTGAAGTGATAGTATCACACTTGTTACTCCTTTAATTGAGAGCCGCGTCGTAGTACGCTTACGTATAGACACTGACGTTGGGTGCGATACTGGCGGGTTTTGCCGCAAATCACTCTTATTTTATTTATTTTTACGCAGATAGATTTATTTGGGTTTGCAAGGGAATTATACTATTAAAATATTTCAGAAAGTGCCCAACAGTGCTCCTTCTACTTGCGTGACAAGCTTTCGTTGTTGTTTTCATTGAGGTGTTACTCAGGGAACAATGTTAAATACCATTTTTGTACATGGTATTGCAACTAATCTTATATGTGCTTTATTTTGATTTGGGATAAGTGTTTGAACTATGGCTCGGGATTTCCACTGTGGCATGCTTCTATTGTGACATACCCATATTTATTTTTGTGGTGCGACATAGTGGAAACGTGTGAGCGTAGTTGAAGCATATACCCTATGTAATTTAAAAATCAGCTAGGAAACTAACTTCAAAGTGAAGCATTTTAGTCACTTGAAAGTGTCACCTGGGACGAACTAATTTATATTAAATATAGGTCAAAGTCAGAAACAAATTGAAACACGTTAAATTTTAGATTACATTCACAAGTGCAGGTACTTAATAAAGCATGGTAGGTAGATTAGAGATTTCAATTATTTATTAAAGTAGACTAGAAGTATCATAATCATCAAACGAACTTAAATAAGAAAATTTAGACAGCCTAGTAGCATTAAGTGGATTAACAGAAGAGTTAGGATGCGGAGGGTCCGCTTAGGGAGGCAACTAGCCTTTAAAGCAACTGGCAACTAGCCTTTTCATGTATTATCTGTTTATTTTGATTATTGCTTTAAAATATCAATTTGTTATACATGTGAAAGGATGAATCAGTGGGAGATGGATTTTCGGTTTCTTTACATTTAGCACCACTATGTGTCATTTCCTTAAAACCCCCCAATAACCGGCCTCTTCAATCCCTTCCTTTTCTCATGGAGTTCAAGTGGTCCGCATAGACTATTCAGCCATTACCCGTCCTTTATCCTCGGCTTTGGATTGACTTGCGCTCCCATTGCCCCACCAAACGCTGCAAAATGAAAATGAAAATTAAAGCAGCTGTCAAACATTGTAAAGAACGCTTTTCATATACACGAAGACCGCCATAACCGAGCTTACGGTACATCCATCCTATGAAGTAATGTCTTTCTCATGTTGACTACATTTCTCATGGTGACATGGGAAAGGTGGGAGCACATAGGAAAGCAGGAGTTTTGCCGTGTTTTGGTGTCCCTCAATTTGATTGTAAATTTAAGACACTGCTTGTTTCTCTGCAGAAAACTACTGGCGTAGCTATGCACAGATAAAAATTCTGAATTTTAATGGTGATGTAAGCATTCATTAACGTAAACTTGTATTTTATCCCACGCAACCGAGCAACTTGTGAACAATGTTGTTTACAAAGATGGGCTTTTGTATACAATATTTGCTACATTGCATGAAATGTGTCAGAACTTTACATGATATATAATGTTAACGTATATGATATGTGACGCTCCATTTATGTGCATCATATTGAACAAAAATTTACACTACTTTTTCGAACTGTGTGGCGTAACTAGGAGGAGCTACGCCCTCTGGGATTAAAGTCGCCTCCTCTAGAATTGTTACTACAATAACTTATTTTCCTTACACATCAAGTTCGCTTTTTGTCTAATTGTGAAATTCGAAAAATAAATTTAGCCCCCGCCTATGCAAACCATGCCAGTTTAGGAGGATCAATTCCTAATCAGTGTCCAATAATGCTGGCAGCTGACAGAAATGATTGTGTTGCGAAATTAGAAGGTATTGAGTACTCAAACTCATGGTATTCTATTACTATTAGGTGTTCTCCAAATAAAATCCTCCTTGCATCAACATACCTGTTAATCAATTTCCATGATATGCAATACTGCTGTTGTTTAGACAACTAATTCTCCGACCAAATCCCAAGTTCCCAGAGAATCTATTTACTTCAACTCGCATATTGAATACACAAAAAGAACACAACCCACAAGCCAATGCTTGAGCTCCGGACTGTCCTACCTATTTGTGATGTCATCTTCATTCATGGAACAAAACAATAATCCACCCCCGCCCCGAGCTTCTCGACTCTCGTTGCTGAGAAAAAAAAGAACGTTTTCTTCTGCTAGAAGTGCTGCTCATTGATTGCATTACACGTCAGTCGTTCTCGTACCTCCATGATGTTGTGGGTGGAAGCAAAAATACACACCTTTACTGCTCGCTGCTGATGTGGGCTGTCGGTGTCTGTATTGGTTCTAATATGCAGCGGATAGCAGAGTGGTCATACTTAGTGGTTGATGATGTTACCGTCCGGTCGTCCATCCATCCGTAGAACCTACACAGAGAGGTACCGTTGTTTGTGGATGGAGATATAGCAGGTATTCATTTTTTCCCAAATCCTTGAGAGAATATTGACTACAAATGGTATCTTTATTAGCAAAAACCAGATATCAAAGAATTCCGAAAAAATAATCCGCAAACAACGGTACCGCTCTGTACTATTGTTTGCGGTGGGTTTCATCGTTGAGCCATCTAAAATGAAGAGAATAAAAAATTGCTGCTGTAAGGTCTTGTGTGCGCGTGTGTCTAGAATCTAGAATCAAGCGTTCTGATTGCATAGAGGTGATTCACACAATCTACTAGTGTACTAACTCTAACTAACTGACTGAAAGGGGCGTTCTGTGCTGATGGTTTACTGTTTTTATTTTTTTTTATTTTTTGCAAAACATGATGCACACTTTAACTGCTCTGTGACGGCGATAGAAGGTTTTGTTTTCGTACAGTCGCTACATCAAATGGAATAGTGCGAATGAGTGTTGCTATAATGGACAAAGTTGGTATATTTATCTAATTTATTTTTATTTGTTTCTTTCTTTACAGGTTCGTATTTCTACAGTACAGTCGTTGGTTGGTGTTGTTATGGACTTCACAATCTAGAAGGTATTTTATTTGAACCACATTAAACCACTGTAGATAAAGAAAATAATAGGCTATAATCTACTGGATGCCAACAAAATGACATACACATGAACACATTCTCAGCATTTGTCTGTTGTCACGCTGAGTTGAGTCGGAATATTTTTGTTATTGTCTCTGTTCTATTCTTAGTGAGAGCCTGGTAGGAAAATGAACATTGTGAGTTGTATCTCTCAAATACTGGTACTGAGTTTTCATTGATGCGAAAATTTGCATCTTTGATTTATGAGTTATAAATAATTTCCATGTAAATCAGGTTAAATCTAGATAGAGCTGGAATTAGGGCCTAACAGCTTTTGTAAACAATGACTTCTCTGGGTGATTTCCATTTTTTTTTTTTTTTTTTTTTTTTTTAATTCTTTATTTAAGAGATTTTTAGCCTTAGGCTAGTTCATCTCTAATATGGGTGATTTCTAGAAATTCAAGGCTCACCCACGCAAACCAACATCCTCATCGGGTAGGGAAAGACTTCCCCTATCCGATGGCTAGGTTGGTCTGCGTGGACGTGCCTTGAATTCCTAGAAATCATCGATAGAAGTCATTGTTTACAAAAGCTGTTACGCCCTAATTCCAGCTCTATCTAGAAATAGTTCTGATTTATTTTTTAGTTGCGGCCATTTTTAAATGTTATGCGCGTATTTCAAACATGCTATCCAGCTCATAATGCATCACTTTTAGCTACTTCACTACCGAATTACCATTGCACCTCAACGCTTGTACGTTTTACCCCCACATACAATAGAAAATACTCCAAGAAAGCATTTTTTGTTTTTTTTTTTTTTAATCTTGAATGATATTTCTAAGCTAATTTATGTATTTGGTATTAACAAACTTAAGTTAAACAAATAGTATGTCTAATGACACACCCAGAATAATCACCATTAAGATCATCAATGTCCTAAGCGTGTCCTTTTCACCCCCACCACCCCTACTGATTTACTTCTCGTTCATATGCAATAGAAATTTGTTAATTTGTTATGATTAGCAAATTGGCAGAGGATTGGTTTACTGCTCATAGTGTTCACAAATACTTGCATAATAATAATAAACATAACGCATTAAAATTTCCTGAAACAGATAATCAAAGTCTACATCGACACTAACAAAGTTCCTGGGACTTGATGGTTGAACCTTCAAGCAAATAAGAAACAATTCAAAAATGGATGAAGTGATGATCAACTTATTGGCATTTATCGACCACTTGCTGCAACTCGAGGCATGTACTGAGCGGATTGCTTAAAAACTTTTCTTTGTAAATTGCTGCAAGCAGTAAAATTTACTACAGAATGTTCAGAAACTCATATATTTTCTGAAATAATGGATTAAATTTTTGTATTTAAGTCTTAATTTATTGCGTCCAGTAATGTGTTCTGTTGTAGTTTATCCCGCGTCTTTAGTTTAGTGCATTTTGTATTACTCCATCACTATTGAGAAGTGATGATGAAATGATTGAAGTATTGATACAGGTCATTCTTACCTGTATCGCAAGGGATCGGTCTAATTGTAAGGATCAGCTATTTATACCCCTTGAAAAGTGAGCGCACCCTCCAAGGCGCCTCTCTATCAATCTGAATCAGATTTAGTTTTAATCACTTCAAACTAGATATATCATCGGTTAGAAGATTTGGGATCACATAGAAGACTAACTCGTTTCTTCCTTGTTGCATGATCATTAGGATGGGTGAATTTTACAACCCCCTGCTCCCCACTGCTCTTTCAATCAGTATCGTGGTTCCCAATACTGTCCAAATTTGAACGACGATTTGGATTCACGGAAGAATTTTGATAAAACCTGCGATTTCAACCTACCAGTGCTGCAAAACCTCGACAATACACGGCGATATTCAAACCAATTCTGCTTTGTTCACTCATTTGAGCTAACAGCCATCGTCAAAGCAAACCATGTCAATTGTCAGTGACGAACATTTGTCCGTTTTTTTATTAGCTAAATTTAAAACGAAATTAAATTATTTGAGAAAAACAATTACATGGAGCCGTTAAAGTAAACAAGCACATCGGAGATGAATCAGCGTCTGGCTGAAAATCTCCTTAATAAAGACAACCAACCAACCAGTAAACAAGCATCTACGTCCAGAACTGCTTGGATAACAAAGTGAATCAGAATGCACGAAATTAAACTTTTTGTTACCAGGTGGATGCCAGGATCAAGTCTATCAGTGACTATGTGAATAACAATTTGGTCAATATCGCGCGATAGTCTGTCAATGACAATGACAAATCTCAGGACTGCAACCTACAACCTCATAAATACGCCTGCAGGTATGCATGAAGCACTAGATCAAAATTAAATGGGACAGATGTTGGGAACCTCAATAACGATCGAAAGAGCAGGGGGTTGCGATCTGCTATATAAAATTGACCCACCCTAATTATCATCCTCGGTATAGTGCGACCAGATTATTGTCACTATCAACAGTAGATCGTAACAAGGATTAACACTGATAAAAAACTGCTACCCTAGTTTGAAGTATGTAGACATGTAGTTAGGACTAGGGTAGCTCTTAAGCCCTAACGCACAATATTATGTTCATGATAACTTTCCAGGGCAGGATTCTGAGATATCAATTATTATATTCTATTCCACTAATCCCGAGCTGCTAGATACCTTCAGGAAGTGGAAGCACTATTTGTTAAAAAAATACACTCTTGAGTTATCTAACCACAGTTCAACCAAAGCAATCATAATTTTGAAATATATAAAACCACATTTCAGATAATTACATTTTTACATACACTATGGAATTATACAAATGAATTCATAATAAAAGGCAGTCTCAGTGATCGCCATTTTCCTATTAGTATAGCAGCGTGAATTAACGTCAAACGTGATTGGTTTTGCGTCACACCATGTTGTTTTTTTTCTTGGGTAGAAAAGTTTGCACTAAGAATCAGCACTTCCACTGATTAGTGCTAACCAAACGTGTAGTCATCATAGTTTGTTTCAAATTGTATTTATAGATTTGATGAAATGTGAATCAACGTACTCGATAAATATCACCAGCTAATATTGATGCCCCAATTGCTTTGGATTTAAAACGGGTGAAATTGTCAAGTCCAATTTACGACTTGACACCATCGACTGTAAACCCTACGTGACAATGTACTCAGATCTCGATCAATGAAGCCAAGCTTTTTCTAGTTCAACCATGACCCACCCGACGGTAACATTCCTTCACTGTGTTCATTTTTGATTCAGTCGCTGCGACTACTGTAATACGTGGGTAGTGTGTCATACAACAACGGTATACACTTATAGATAGTAGGCTGTGATTCGCGATACGTGCTTTACTGTCGTCGCGGTGCAACAGAGAATGATTTCTTCTCAGTGAGTAGCAGTCGGCAACGTACATACATGCATATGATGCCGAAACCGGTTCGCTTGAAAAAGAAGAATTCTCGCGTAAATTTTCAAAAGGACCTTTTCTGCCATTTTGAGAAAAAAATGAAATTGAAGTTCAGCAGATTATTTTTTAAAAACTGTTTTGATAATAATGGTAAACATTCATTAGGAATGGCAAAATCACAATTTTACTTCGATTTTCGTGCTACAATATAGAAATAAATAAATAGACCGTTTTGACTAAACAAGTTGTAATTCCAACTTTTTTTTCTTAATAAAAGACTCAATGAATATTACATTGGTAGTTTTGTTCTACACATGATACTAGATTACCTTTCACAGACTTCAGAATGGAGTGGACAAATGACTGGTACTCTTATGTATACCTCTAAATTGGTTTTCTTCATGTTAGGTAGACCAAATGTCCGGTGTAACAATGAAGCATCCATCATTCCAAACTTAACATTTGCCAATTTTTTTACCTTTGATCTTAAATAAATGAAAGTAAATTGGGAAGGATATTTTTGTATCACATACAATGCTAGACGAGCGATATTTTGTATCGAATAACTCGATTTGTTTGCATTTGTTACTGAAAGCCTTTTGAAAAGTTACGCGATCATTTTTTAAATTGCAATTAAACGCTTAACGGTAGTTACGTACATACCTGTCGATTTCGGGATGTTTTAACTACTTGAAAATAGACTACGTTGATCAGTCAAAACCGACAGTCAACGTGTGGTTACCGAGGTAACATTCTCCCCTCTGGAAACACGGCAAAAAATAACAAGAGATGTCTGAGACTGGCTTTACGCAGAACACCATTTGGTAGTGGCCATCGCCGGTGACGTAAACGCCACCCGGCCACCGCACACCACGCTGGACACTGTGCCGCAGCGGTGGTTTTCTGGTTTACAAGTCTGTTGAATATCCACCACCGTCACGGCAACGACGCAAGCAAAATCCGCTTGGTTTCAAAATTAGCGAGTCAAAACAAGTAACTTACTGTACAGTTTTGTCTAAAGGTACTGTTGTGTAGTGATCGTAGTGCAGTCTGTCTGGACGGATGACTTAGGTTAGGTGCCATTTTCGAAAGTGTTGTCGCACTTACCAGCTCGTCATCGTGTCTCTCGTTCAAAAGTAAGAGGTTCGCTTGTTTTCGTTTTTTTTTGTTTGTGTTATTCGTTCTTCAGCTAGCCGGTGGTGATTCGCACATTTAGAGGATAGTTTCGCTATAAGCTATTTCGAGGGGCGACTAGTGCTTAAGGTATCTTTGAACATCTCGATTTGGTAGTGCACGAATTTGTTTTGCAGCTTGGCGGTGGAAGTATATATGTGTGTGTGTTATGTTTTGGTGCCAAATGCGACGTAGCGTAAAGTGTGTATAATGATTTAAGGAGATGACTTTGTTTGGATTGACCGCGAGGTTGATCGTTCCGGTTGTGGTGATGTGTACCGCAAATTCGGTAAACCCCATTGGATTCGACGTGCTTGTGATTTCCATATATGAGGAGTGAGGTTGGCTTGCAATGCAATGCATTTGATAGAGGTTTTAGATTACACCTCGACCACTTCGAACCTAACAAATCATGTTGTGGATGCT